TGTATTTATAATAATAATATATATAATGTAGATATATTTAAATGAGAAAAAATAATAATAATTATTGATAAATTAATAATATAAATAAATAATTATGCCTGTCCCTAATAGTTCATATCCGATTCCTTTGAGAACAGTCCTAAAAATAGCACCAGTTTGTATGGTACTTACAACTTTGGGCACATTGTTACCAGTGTGTTTATATGATATATTATATCATTCTCATGAAAGAATTGATAAATTCTTTTGGAGATCAAGCAGATTTGAAAGATTCATCAGATGTAGAGATATGAAATTGCGTACTTTTTGGTATGAAGCAATGGAATGGTAACCAACTGGAAGAGAAAGCTTTATTAAGACTAGACCATAAGTAGCTGATCCTTGAGAGATGTGAAAATATATAAACCAAATAATTATTATTTTCATTATGTGTGTAATTTCTCATTTGCTCTTGTCTTAAAACCATTAAAATCCCACTTTGTTTCTACTCTTTCTGGTTATTCAACATGTACACCTTATTCATCAACATAACCTAATTAAATCACATCATGTGCTCTACAATCTCTGCAGAATAAAACCTATAATTAATCTCTCATTTACTTTAAAACATTCTCTTATTACTTACTTAGCTTAATCAAGAGTGCAATTTTCATTCCAATAATTACTGATTATTGCTTTACAAAAGTAGCTTGCAAACCCAGTTGTCACAAAATTTGATTCTAAGTATGTACCATAAATATCTACTAATGCTAGATATCTTTCTCCATTATGAAATCCCTAAATACTTAAAAATCTATACAGCTATCACATTCTGCAAATATAATGGATTTATTTTGCATCTCTTTTTATATGACAATCTTGCTAAGAAATTTCCATAGTCTCTTGGAGATGGGTGAACTCCATCATCATATTATAAAGCTGATCTATCAATTTTAGCTAATTCTTTCACAACTTATTAAAAATCAGAATATTCTCCACTAGAAACATAAATAGTATTTTTAGACACTTGAGCAATCTTTTCTACATTTCTAAATCAATTCTTTTTTATTTATACTTAAATGCTGCCATGCTTCCATAACTACATAAAGTATCTGTTCCAATTACTACCCCACCTTTGTAAGCTAATGCTATCACACTACCTCCTGTTACTACAGGAGATGTTGTATGCTATTATTGAGCTGATAACTCAGAATTAAAAATCATTGTGTTTATATTTAAATAATTTATACCGATGTTATATAATTGTTTTAACCATTAATTATATCATAAGAGCCTAAATATTCAAGAAATCATATGAAAATTATTAGATTATGAAAAAAGAAATGTTTTTGGTATTTATATAATATTATTCTATAGCCTATTAATTAATTTACAATCCAAACAATACCATAATCTTTTGAACTAGTGATATATATAATTTTTTATCATTCACATTATTGAATTCAAATAAGATTTAAATGATTTTTAAGTTTCAATTAGAGAGTTTAAGTTTTCTTTAATTTTACTTGATTTATTCTATAAACTTTATTTGGCCATGATTTATGGATTATTTTATAAAATTTAATTGTATTCTTTCCTTAATTGATTATAATCTTCTTAATAAAAAGATTGGTGCGTTTCTAATAATTACATAGCATTTTCAAGTATTTTTAGTAACGAATCGGTAGAGTTTTTTTATGGTGAACCATTCTTTTTAGTAACCATTTTTTGTAGCAGATTTTTAATTGTTTTAGTATGTACAAGTTTAGTATCACTTAGACTTTTTTATTAAGAAAAAGAATTTTGTATCAGAAATTTATTATCATGTAATTGCACATCTTACATATCTAAAGAATTATGACGTTGATGATTAAATGTTCTATTTAATGGGGAATGAATTACAGAACGAACTTTTGATTTGCGATGCATTTTTACATATTCAATAAGATTTTTAATTTAATTATTACGATGTTGTCTAGCATCTATTTATGAATTTTTTAAAGTTTAAGAGTATTTTTCAAGAAATGTTAATTTAGAGCTTACGAATTCTAAACTTATAGATGATAATTGATTAAGCATTCCCATAATTTACTCAAATAGCATTCTATATTCTTAGTCTAATTGGATAATAGAATTCATAATATTTATAATCGTTAAGTATTTTTTAATTATTTTAATTTATGGAGCAAGATCCTTTAACATAGTTACTGCATCTCTTAAAATAGAAATTAGTAATAACTGAGAAATAATTCTGGGAATTGAGTAATGAGGAAGGTCATTCAGCAGAATAAGAAATAACAATAGCGAAAGAATTGATGATATAAGAAAGACATATTAAATTGATTGAATAAACTATAAAGTAAATAAATAAAATAATCTTAGTTTAAAAAACTAAGATAAGACATTACAATTTGCATTTCCAATGAAATATGCTATGAATTTAATATAAAATCCTAATATTATTGAAGAATATAAAGACTTTAATATAATTGATGTTTCAGAAGAATTTGAAAAGATTGTAATGATCTATGTAATTATTAATTTAGAATGTTAATACCATTACAGAAGAATAGGTTAAAGGTTATTTGATTATGAAATTTGATGATACAGCTAGTTAAAAGAGTGATGCTTGGGAAGATGATTTAGGAGAAGTAGTTGAAGTTGATAATCAAGAATTAGAAGCTCTTGAAAAAGAAGTGGATTAATAAGAGGAAAAAATTATTGAAGAAGAAGAATAAATTATTAAATAATAACCTGAATTAATAGAATAAATTGAAGAAAATCATATTGATCCTACTTGGAAAATTGATGAACCAAAGGCATAATTAAAAATACATAATAAAGTTATTTGCACTTTTGCATAGAATCCTGTTTCTAAAGATATTATTGCAACAGGTTCTGAAGATGATTAATTTAAACTTATTAAACTTAGTACTTAAAAAGTTATTTTTGAAATAAAATATGATGAAACTGTTGGTTTAGTTGATTTTAGTTATGATGGTAAATATGTTGCTGCTGGCATACTAACAGGAAAGATTTATGTTTATTTATTAAGTGATATGAGTTAAAAAGTGCTTGATGGTAGTCAAACTGAACCAAGTGTATTGAAATGGCATCCAAAAGGAAATGTTTTATTAGCAGGATTTTAAGATTCAACATTATGGATGTGGAATGGAGTTAATGGTGAAGTAATGAGTGTATTTGCTGGTCATGAAGCAGAAATTACTTGTGGTGGTTTTACTCTCGATGGAAAATTAGTTTTAAGTGGTTCTGCTGATCAATCTTTTAGAATTTGGAAACCAAATACTTCTGAATAAATTGTTAAAATTAGTTCAATTGCACATAAACACAATTATCATAAAGATGATGTTGTATGCTTTGTATAACATCATAAATAACCTATCATTTCCACTGGTAGTAGTGATTCAACTATTGCATTTATCAATTTTGAAGATGGAAAAGTATTTTTTATTTAATAATTAGGTTATTGGTAAAACTGAACCTTTAGGAGACAGTATTGTTGAATTATGTTTTATAGGTACTAATTAACCTATTATTGTTGCTGGGGATCTTTCAGGTTAAATTTATATTTATAATTGGAATTCAATGAAATTAATTGAAAAATTATGCTTATGCAAAGTATTTATATTATTCTATATTAGAATGCAATCACTAAAATTCTATTTTATAACTAATAATTCCATATATCTAGTTTAGATGGGAAAATTGTAACATTTGATGTAAGATAAATGCACAATTACAGAGTTCTTTAAACTAAATCAGGAATATACGAAATGATAGTTGAAGAAGGATGGATTTTAGTTGGATGTGAAAATGGCTTTGTATATGTATATTGATTTTTTTCTTTAATTCATATATATTAATCATATTTAAAAATTGTTTTTCTTTAGAAAAAAATATTCTTAAAAACATTCTTCAAATAATAAATTATTTTTTAGTTTGGTTTTGATTGAGTTTATTAATTTAATAGAAATTATTAAAAATTATAATAAAAGTTAATCAGAATTGACTATTTCATTACTTTGCTAATAAAGTTTAATAATTTTGATTCAAATTTTAATTTTCTTTTCTTAATTATTCATTTTCTATTATATAACCACTTAAACAACCTAAATTTCTTTTAATAGAAACCTACAAATAATAAAAAAAATTGTTACATTTTCTTCTTATAATTGCTTTAATTAGAGTTTCAAAGAGTCATTTTCTTATTGATATTTATTAATTTCAAATTTTAATTAATCAACCTATTCATTAGACCCATAATTAAATTTTCTAAGTTTGTTTTTTAGGTCATCTATTTATTTTAATCTTTCTTAATCTAATTAAATATTTTAAGTTTAGGCATCTAGTATTGATTAAATTTACTAATCTTTTTCAAGCTTTAATTTACAAATTTCTTATTCTAAATCAATTATTGTTTTTTCAGCTTTTAATAATTTTCGCTTGTGTTTGTCACAATCTTCAGTTTTTTCAAGGATAATTTCTGTTAATATCTTCTACTCACAATCTAAACCTCTAAATTTATTTAATTCCATTAATAAAGAGTTGTTTTCATTTTTTAATTATTAATGTTCTTCCATCTTTGTTTTAAGTGATTTATTTAATCTTTGATTTTCATCCAATAAAAGTGTAATTCTCTATTCCACTTTGCTAAAATCTTTATTTTTATTCTCCTTGCTATTGGTTATTTTAAGTTGCTACATTATCAGTCTGTTAAAATTTACAAATAAAAATTAATTATTGTTATGGAAAAATAAAGATATAAATATATTTCAATAAAAATGGGAGTAACTATTGTTATTATTATTGAACCATATATCTTTAAAATTTTAGTTAATAAATTTAAATTATATTTTCATTCACTATCGCTAGAGTTATCTTCGATAAAAAACTATTAATTGAATTAATTATCATTTGGATCCATACATTCTATACATAATAGGTTTTTTAAAAATGGATTTTTTGTTTATTTGTAATACTTTGGAATATCATTTCGACTTGTATAAAAGCCTAAAGCAGCAAATCTTGGAGAATTTTCTGCTATCTCTTCATCATGTTTATCTGATTTGCCTTCATAGTGAATAACAAGATATTTAATTTTACTTGCTTCTTAGGATATCTTTAATCTTTTGATGGTTCCAACATTCCAAACAAAATTTGGATCTCTTACATCAATCTATTATCCGACATCTATAGATGAAACTCTTAAATATAATTAAATGATATACTGTTTCTTTTTTCTCCATTCTTTATTATTAATTTTAGCCATTTCATAAGTTTTTAATTCTTCAGGATGATGAGACTTGATAAATTCATGAATCATTTAGTCTAATAAATAACAATAGGCGAATTTAGATTTTCTCATGTTATCGTTGCAAATATGACAGCCCTTGAAATAAAGCAAATATTCATGTAAACATATTTCACAAAAGGTGTGTCCACATTTTAAAGAAACAGCTGCCACTATGTAATTTAAACATATAGGACAAATGAAATCGTTTTTGTCATGTATTAGATCTTCTATATTCTAGACGCTTTCATTTTCTTATTTTTCAATTTTGAGCTTATCATTTTACTTTTAGATCTTCTTTTATTATTTGTTCATTTATCACTTAAAAATTTAGCAAATATAATAATAAAGATTAAATTATGTAATAAGCTGAAAATAAAAAGGCAGTAGAAATTAAATAGAGATTGTAAAGAAATAGAGATAGAGAAAATAACAATTGATCTTATTCCTAAATTTGTATTTAAATATTATAATATAAAATAATGTAACAACCTGTTCCAACAACTAGTGGAGGTTCACTCTAACCAATTTTACCAAATTAAAGAAGTCAATCTGCAAAACCTTCATTGATGACAATATAAAATCAGAGAACAATTTAATCAGCAATGTAAAGAAGCCCAGCTATTCCATCTGGTCAAAGAGTGCCTTCTGGAATAGGAAGCTTTGTCTAACCAACTAATAATAGTCAACGGATTTAGAGTGGTTATACAAGAATTCAAAGTGGTTAAACTAAAGTTGGTGGTACAAGAATTTAGAGTGCATCAAAATCAACAAGAAGTATTGCAAAAGAATTATTTCATATTGAACCCAAAGAAATAATATTTGAAGATATTAAGACAGGAATTCTTTATGAACAAATATTAAATGTTTAGAATTTAGCTAAATATCCTGTAAGAATAAGAGTGTAACAACCTAAAAGTAATAATTCGTATTTAAGGAAGCTTCTAAATTTAGAGCTGACTATGATATGTAGTAAGGTATAGCAGCTGGATTAGGTCTAAAAGTCTTAGTTTTATTTAAGGAATCTGAAAGAGATATTGCAGCATTAAATTAACATTAAAAGCCTCCTCCTTTTTATAAAGATGTTATTATTATAGAATCTGATGAATTTAAAGTTGAAGTACATCTAGCTGCATATAGAGCATGTCCTAAATTAAAATTTAATGAATTCATTGATTTTGGATTTGTTCAACAAGGAACAGAAAATACATAAGAATTAATGATACAAAATGTTGGTTTTGCAGATGCCAAAGTATAAGTCAAAAGTGATTTATTGAATCTAAGAGCTATGCCAAATTTAATTACAATTGCTCCAGGGGAGTATCAATCGATTAACATTATTTATAAGGCTAATGAAATGGGTAATTTTAGATAGACTATGGATATTGTAAGTGAAAATGTATCATAAAAATTGGATATTGCTGCATGCTCTGTTGATTATACTAGATTTTTAATGGATTCTAAAGGATCATAAGTTACATCATTAGATTTTGGAGAACTTTATATCGGTAAAACCAAAATTATTAAACTTAAATATGTAAATAATGCTCCAAAAGGGCATTAATTTAAAATTCTTACTAGAAGAGGTATCATAAATCCTAATGATGATATTGTAAATCTATAAACTCCTAATGAGTTAGGTATAGAATAAAGTGAAAAACTTTTGGTTGTTTAACCAGCTATTGGATATATTTAAGCATATTCAAGTCTAGAAATATCATTAACTTGTATGATTTAAATAACTCCTAAAGAATAACAATTAGCTAAAAAAATTTGCTTTGGAATTGATGTTGAGAAAGAATAAATGAGCAGAGAAATAAAATATTCAATTATTGTTCAATAGCCTGATGAAGATTTGATTGCTTATACAAATGTTAAAGCATTACTTCCATTAGTTAAAATATCAAAATAATCATTATAATTTGGAGATTGTGATGTTAATGATAATAAGGATATTTTATTCACTATTTCTAATTTATAAAATTATCCTGTTGAAATATCATTTCAAAAAGTTTCTTGTTTTTTTTTTAAACCTGAAAATGTTACAATAAATGGTTTATCTTAAACTACTGTGTAAGTTAAATTCACCCCAAAAAATGTAGGAAAATATAGTTAAAGTATAGATATGATTCTTAATGATTATCTAACTATTCCAATTAAAGTAAATGGAGAAGCATTAAAAATTGCCAAAAAAAGACCTTAAACTAGAGGTCCTGAAGCTAGAGCAGAAGATTTTTAAGTAGATCCAAAATTTATTGATACTAAAGAGATAGAATATGTAAAAAAGAGAAATAATGAACTTATTGAATAAAATCATCAACCTGGAAATATTGTGGATGGTTATTTTGAAGATACATAAAAAAAAACAAAAATTACACAGTAGACAAATAATTTTTTATAAGATTAAAGAAATAATCGGTTGGAAAAATAGAGATAATAAATAATTTAATAAAGAGTAGAAACAATAACATAAGCATAAGAAAAGTAGAGAGATGAGGGATCTAAACCTCCTAAAGATTATGAATTTGAATTAGGATTATAAGTAGATAATATGGATAATGATATCGAAATTCCTTATCGTAAAGATGGTTTATATGTAGTAAAACCATTTTAATAATATGAACCTTTGAAAAGATAAGATGATGAATTAGTAGATTTTAAACCTGATCCAAAATAACCAGTTAAGAGAATTTTATCAGGAAGACCTTAATCACATAAATAAGTAAGAGATGTAAACAGAGAATTAGCAGCAGATGATTTGAAAAGAATTTAAGCAGGTCCAGTTAAAATTGATTATGGTACTATTTATATAAATATTCCAATGTCAAGAACATTCTTTATTCATAATAATTTGAGATATGCTATAATAGCCAGACTTTGTATAGATAAAAAGGAAGAACTTAGAAAAACATTCTAAGATCCTTAAGTAATTGATAGCGGTGAAGAAGGCCAATTTGAAATAATTGTTTAAGCCTAATCTTTAGGATAATTAAAATAAACATTAAGGTATATTTTAAATGAAAAACATTCATTTGAAATTATGGTTGTTGCTAATGTAGAAACTGTTAAATTAGAAATATCTAAATCTACTATCAAAATGTAATTTAATGAAGATGGAGGTATGAGTGTTAGTGATTCTATTAAATTAAGTAATAATGGTGCTGGACCAGCATAATTTAGTTTTATTTAACCTGAAAATTCTAAATTTAATCTTGATTGCTTAAATGGAATAATTTAAGGATAATCTTAATAAATTATTTAAATCACTTATACACCTAATAAAATTATGAAGGATCCATAAGATCCTGAAAGTGATGTTGTATTTAAAAATTAAAATCCAACTCGTCAAGATGAAGAGAAAATAGTTTTAAAAGTAAAAGATGGCCCTGAAGTTTAATTAAAATGTATAGGATTAGTAAGTGATGTAAAATGTGTTTGTAAAAATACAGTTGAATTCTAAGAAATTTGTGTTGCTTAAGAAAAGTCTTTGCCATTTTAAGTTAAAAATACAAGTAGAAACAATGCAATATTTAAGATTTTAACTGAATATTTACCTATAGGTTGTAATATTATTCCAGCCTCAGGTAAAATATTACCAGAAGAAAATAAAGAATTTAATGTTAAATTAAATTGTGATAAGCCAATTAATATAAATACTTCAATTTTATTAATGCTTAGATCAGGAAGGGTAATTAGAATACCTTTAACTGCATAATGTATTGTTCCTAATGTCATAATTACCTAATAAGTATTTGATTTTGGAGATGTTACTACTTTAGGAAATTAAACGGCTTTACCATTAACTATTGTAAATAAAAGTAATGTTGAAGTTAAGCTAATTTTTGATTTAAGAAATGAGGATATAAATCCAGATGCAAATGAAGGAGTAGGAGGTTTAGTATTAAAATAATAATCAGAACTATTAAAGAATTATGCTGAAGAAGAATAATAGGAAGAATCAGATGATGATCTTTTATCATCAGCAAGATAATAAAAGAAAATGATATGCCAAAATAAAAAATATATTTTAATTATGTCCGCTTTATAAACTTTATAATTTTAATTACATTTTTATCCAAAAGAATTAAAACGATATTAATTTTAATTGCCAATAGAAATTTATAAATATGGTATGATAGATACAATAAAAAGAATGGTTTAAGTTTATGGATGTTCACCCAAATTTATAGTAGAACCTAAAACAGTAGAATTTCCAAGAAAGATAATATTGTCACCACCAGAGAAGAATAAACCGTATATATAAGAAATCTTATTATCTAATCCTGAATATAAAGGAATGCAATTTAAGATTTAGATAGATGCTGACACTGGTAATATTCCATCAGTTTTTTAAGTAATACCTCTTGCAGGTAGAGTAGATGCTGGTTAGACTTTAAGAGTTAAAGTTATGTTTAATCC